GCCCCCCCCCCCGTGCTGGGGAGGAGCCCAGACCCAGGCCTGATAAGATGGGGGCACTTCTGAGCCTGGAACCAAGAGGAGTGACTGAGGAGAGAGTGCGGAGATCAGGAGGCAGAGGAGAGGAGAGGGACTGGGGGGCTGGTAGAGAGTAGGAGGGTCAGGGAGGGTGCTCTTGATGGGGCTGGGGGAAGTGCTGAGGGTCTGAGAGGGGAGGTGCGTGTGTCCAGGCTGGAGCTGCCCCACCTGCCATCGAAGGCTGGGATGGGGAGGTGTTGGGCCCTTTCATCTGGTCCCATCTCTGGTGCTCCTGGAGTTTCTGCTCAGCCCAGGCAAGAACTAACATGACTAACCCAGGCCCATCCTGAATGCTTATTAACCAGGCCAAGAGGCCCGCTACTGCTCCCACCCCCAAACCAGGCAGTACCATCTACTGGAAGCTCTTTGCCTATGGCGATGAGGCTGTCTGTCCTGGTCACAGCCGTGTACTCCAGGCGTCCAGGCCTTTGGGATCTGGTCTATTTGGGTGTGTCACGGATGGGGCAGTGGGTTGAGGTGGGGGAGGGTGCTGGGCTAGAGAGCAGAACCCTATTTAGACTTTAGGAAGCCACCTTCAATGCTTCTGGACTGAGGCAGGGATAAATAAATAACTCAACAACAGATTTTGGGAAGCACTTTCTGGGACCGAAAAAGGTAAAACCTCCTCTCCACTCCCCATCCTCCCAATACCTCCTCCTCACACTCCATAGACGGACAAAGAATCACAGCCCCACCAGTTCCTCTTCCGGAGTTTATTCTGGAGCAGCTGGGATGATGCTCCCAGCTGCTGGGATCTCACACTTGCCGGGCAGGGAGGTCAGGGCAAGGGGAGGGGGAGGGGTCCCGGAGAGGAGCCAGAGCTGGGGGCTGCCAGCCAGGCCGGCAGGGCTGAGTGCTCTAGGCTGTGCCGTAGAAGCGCCGATAGGCCTCCTGGAAGCCAATGTGGTCAGCCAGCTCGTCACAGGTGGGGTTGAGCTCACACACCTCCCTCCTGGGCTCCAGAGGATCTGGGTAGGGGGCTGGGGCTCTGAGAGCCCAACACACTGGCATCAGCCTCCATGCAAAATGCCCGCCCCTCCTCCCACTGCACTTGGGGCTCCAGAGTCCTCCCACAGCGGCCGCTCCTCCCAGCCCATCCTGGAGATGCAGGGCCCTGGCCCAGCACCTCCTTTTCTCTCACCCCAGCCCATGATCCAGGTAGCGCCTGAGTCTCTTCACCACCTCGCTGCCTTCCTGCTTGGACACAAAGGCTGTGGAGCAGAGGGTTGGGGTCAGGTGACTCCGAGTTTGGGTGGACAAGGTGGGGAGTAGGCTGGCCTTCCTGAGAGCCAGATGGGAGGGGGCAGAAGGGGAGAATGGGACTGAGGGGACCAGGGTGAGAAAGGGGTGCTGGGAGTGAGCAGGACCATTGAGTGATACAGGGCACAGCTTCCCATCAGGCCCTGCCTCATACCTGCACCTTTGCCAGACTCATCTCTGGGCTTTGCATCTGCAAGAAAAAGGAGCCCAGTTCACCCCTGCTCATCCCTAGGGCTTTCCCTCTCCTCCCCTCTCCCCTCCTCGCCCTCCACAAGGACAGCAGTGGGGGCAAATGGACTGAGCCCACAGAAAGGTGGTTAGACTGCCAATAAGGACTGCCAGTGGAAGGGGTGAGGGGAGGTGAGGCCATGGTGCTTTCCCCTCACAGCTCCCGCGGGCTGGGGCGGGGGTAGGGGCACTCACCTGCCCAGCCAGCGAGGCAGAGTGTGGCCAGGGCCAGTAGGGCGAGGAACATGAGGGGTCTCATGGTGTGTCTGTCAGCGGCTGCGCTAGGGCTGCTGCTCAGGACTCAGCTGGTCTGCCCCTCCCAGCCTCCAGCACTGTTTTATACTCTCTGGGCTGTGTCCCAGAGGCAAGGGTGCAGGCGGGTCTTGGGGGAATCTACCAGGGCTATTTGGGGGTCAGCCGCCTAGGCCAAACCCCAAAGGATGTTGTGGTTGGAGCTGTGGCTGCCTGGGCAGGCCCCTGGGAGTGATGGAGGAAGGTGGGCCTCAGTCCAAGACTGCCAGCCTCCAGACAAGGTCCCCAGCCCCTCCTCAAGGGGGCTGCCCCAGGTGCCCCAGCCCCTACTCACTCTCCCTCGGAGCCCCAGCCTCAGTTTGAGCACCAGCGGGGCAGACCGGGAGGGGTAGGAGGGGGAGCCTAGACAGGAAGGGGGGCCCAGAGGTCCAAAATAGATTTGCACAGAGCTGGGCTACAGCCTCCCACAGGCTGATTTCCACTGTCAGCCCTGTGGGCAGGAGCCAAACTCAGGGAGGGAGGGCCAATGCCCTCATTCACCCCGAGGGCCTCTGCCCCAGAGAGACCTCAACAGCAGGGCTGGCATGGGGGCGGCTCGACTCTGCTCAGGCCCTGAGCCTCGGGACGGGGGAAGGGGTTGGGGCAGCATAGGGCCAAGAGCCAAAAGCCAACACAGGTGTGGCCAGGTGTGAGGTAAGGACAGCCCTTCTGTCTGCGACTGGCCAGGTGGGCACTGAGGTGGGAACCCCCTTCCCCATGCCCCTCGCACCTCTGAGCTCCTGACCGCCCCACCCCGATCCTTTTCCTGCCCTCATAGCCTCCCCACTGCCAATAACTCTGGGGACCTGTCCTCCGAGGGGCAGAACATCCAGCCTGAAAAGCCCCACCCCAGACCTCAAAGCCACTTCTGCCTCAGCTCAGCCTGGAGAAGAGGGAGGGTGTCCTCACCCACCACCCACTCACCAGGTGGAGACCTGCCAGACGAAGCACTGCTGCCTCCACCCCACGGCCGGTGGCTGGATGTTTAGGTGTAGGTGTGTCCAGGAGGAGGAGCCACTAGGCTCAATTTGGGGGGGTGGGGTTGATGATCAGGGACCACCCTGCCATCTTCCCGAGTGTCCCCGCTGCTCCTAGACAGACCCAACCAGGCCTCTCTCTACAGAGTTAGGGTGAAGCCTTCGCCAGGCAAGAAAGTTCTGCCCCCACCCATACCCACTCCCTTCACCCTCCAGTCTGGAGGGAACACCCACCCTGCCTTTGGCTAAGTCACTCCTGATGCCCTGTGGCCCTGGCTGGGGAAGAGGGGGTTGTGAGAAGCCAGAGGACAAAGTCCCAGCCATTTGGAGGGCCCACTTGCTCCATGTTCGAGTACTCACCAGGCACAAACAAACACCTAGGGAGGCCGACCATAGAGCCTCTCAGAATCAACCCAAGGCAAAGAGAAGGGCAGGCGCATGGACAGAGTGACCCCCACCCCCAGCAGCTTGTCCTGGCCTCAGGGAACCCAAGGCTCCTGGTTTCTGTGACAAGGGGCTTCACTGCCCTTCCATACATGATGGTCAGATACACCCCCCACCAACCCACCCCAGCCTGGAGGCTCTCAGAGCCCTGCAACTGGGGCCTCGATTGGAGCCAGGACTCTGGAGTCCAGGGTGGGATCTTGGCCCAGGAGAGTCCTGGGAGAGGCCCAGGCAGAGGGAGCATCCTCACAGATTACAGTGTAGTGGAGGAAGTTTATTTGCGGATGTGGGGAGAACATGGCAAGGGCCCTTGGGCTGGCCAGCAAGGGGGCAATCAGTGGAAACTGAATACAGATTCCCCAAGCCAGGTCCTAGGGAGGGCTCAGGAATAGGCGATATGTGTGATGGGGGTAGGGTGGGGGGTTGGCCTGAACCTAAAGGAGAGGCAGCATGGTCCCTAATTCCCAGGGCGGGAGCTGGCCAAGAATCCTAAAGTTAGAAGGAAACAGGGAGGAATCTGAAGGTAGTGTGTGTTTTTGACCCCAAGGGAGCCCCAGAGGCACAACGGCAGTGGAGACAGCTGAGGCCTCCTTCTCCGGCAAATTCCATCACTGCTTAGGGACTGTTCTCGGAGGCAGCTCACTCAGGCTCAGCATCCTGGACAACAGGCCCTTGACCTTGACTGCCCTCTGCTCCTGGGCCGGGCCCTCTCCTCCTCACTCAGGCTCCCTCAGCACGGCCACCAGCTCCTTCTGTTCTCTGTGTAGAGCCTGACATCAGTGAGAGAGAACAGACAGACTGGGAGATGAGAAAATCCAAACCCTTTCCCTCCACTGTCCTTGACTCCAGGCCTGGGTTTCCCCCCAGGATGATAAGGAAGGGGTCTGAAACTCATATCACAGGCCCAGCAGGGCATATTAGGAAATCCGCCCCACTCAGCAGTTGTTTATGGCAGGCTGGGTGCCATGGCCACCTAGGCTGGGCCTCCCCAGAGAAGAGCCGATTTTCAAAAAGGGCCCCTTAAGTGTCCCCCGATCCTCTGACCTCACCGGAGATTTCTAGCAGAGAAACTTTCTTAAATTAAGTGGACTTTCAGCTGGGCTACAGACATGGGAATTGTAGTGAAAAAGGGCTCTTTGAACCCACACAGGGCTCAGCACTGAACACTCAATCCAGCTGACCCACTTCAAACAATGGTTAGCATCTGTAGCTGTAATGGGAGAGGTGTGGCTATAAGAGCAGGGGGCTTCCTTCTTCCTCTTAAAATAGAAGCACTGAATGTCAGAGCTGGCAGGGCGTTGGGGATCACTATTTGGCCAATTTGGAAGCCAAAGCCTAGACAGGGGAGTGACCCTTGGCCTCATGGTGATGAAGCGCCAACGGCAGAGCAGCCGGAGGACTCAGCAAGGCAGCCCCGAGAGTACCCGAGACACAACTCTCAACTGTGGAACCTGTCCCAGGAGACGGCACTAGGCTGAGGCCTCAGTTATACCACCTGCGTGTCTGCTGTGTAGAGCCTGGGCCACTGCACTACACTACACTATACACCCCCAGGGCCAGGGTGTTACAGGAGGAGGCTGAGCGGATGAAGATAAAGAGGAAGCAGAGCAAGGCACCAGCCCTTCTCCTGCTGCCGCCTCCCTGAGGCTTGGGGCCTTGCTGAGGCTGGGGCAGGGCCTTCAGGTTGCCCCCTGACTGGTCTTGGGAAGAAGACCAGGGGACCTGAGAGCCACGGATCTGGGGACTTATTCCCCTCGGGAGTAGGAGGGTCTGCCCCAGGAAGGGAGCTGTCAAGTGGACACAGGTAAACATAAGTTGGACATCTAAATGATGAGGAGAACCCAATAATGGGCCACCGTTCAAGCCCCACTAGAAACCCTCCTTTGGAACTATATTTTGAGCCGGCGAGAAAATCCATCTCATCACTCTGTAGCCACATGTGCTATCTGCGTCACCCAGCCTGATTACTCTCTTCCCCCTTATTCACCAACTTGCCCCCAAGTGACTGTGGGCCACTTTCAGAAATTGAGTTCACCCTCAAAGGACACATATTTGTTGCATGGAGGATATGTCTTAGGTATGTTGACGGCTCTAGAAGTCATTCTACTGTACACATTTTAAAAGTACTGGGCAATGATCATGTGGAGTAGAACCACTATGGCTACAGAGGATTAACCCTGACCCTGACATGGAGGAGCCATCCCTGGGCAAGTCACTTGCCCTCCCTGGGCCCGTTTTGTCCTGGCTGCAGCAGGGGAGCATGTGCCTGAGGGCAGGGCCGGGACACTCACCTGCCAGGCCTGCTGCCGGGCCTGGCCCTGCAGCTGCAGCTCCTCCACCTGCCTGCGCCCGGCCAGGACGGCATCTGCCAGCTGCCTGTTCTCAGCCTCCTGTTTCTGCACACGGCGCTGCAGGGCGTCCCGCTGCTGCAGAAAGTAGGGCACCACAGCGCTGCACAGGTCCTTCTCTGGGATCCCACTAGGGCGCCTGCAGGGCCGCAGGGGGCGCAGGGGTGGGTACAGGGAGTCGTCGTGTGGGGTAACGCTTCTCCTTCCAAACCCAGCCAGTGGCATTCCCACCTTCAGCCTCCAGCTGGCTGGCTCTCCAGGCCTCTCCTGCAGTCCCTCTCACTCCCAAGACCCAACCGCATGGCTCCTGCTCCTGAGGGGACGCTAACCCCTTGTCCCTTAGCTTCAGCTCCCAGGAACCCATCTCTCCTCTTCTCACCAACCCGCACCTTAGCCCTCCTCCTCATCCACAGACACTCCCTCCAGCTGTAAACCTCCAGGGCTGGAGATGATTTCCTCGGGCCTTGTGACCATGTGCCTTGCTGGTGCATCCACACCATGGGACTGTGAGCTGGAGAGATGGGGGAAGGTTGCGGCCTGAGCGCAGGCCCAGACCCCAAGAGGCCCTGGCTGGCTAATGTGAGAAGATAAAGGAAAGACAGGTCTGAGGAGGCAAGAGTTTAGGGGGTTCTGAGTGCCCAGAGTGAGGAGATAGGCCAGTTCTGATGGGCAGTGGGGTAGAAGCCACTGTAGGTTCTTTAAAAGTTCTTTCTCAGCTATAAAAGTTAATTCTCTTAAGTTATGAATGTCACAAAGCATTAGCAAATTGAAAAGCACAAAAAAGGTTTTTACTCCTCCTGACCTAGGATTCTACTCAGGCAGGGAATGGAGGCAGGAGGCAGGAGCTCAGGCCACTCGCCATCTCGGTGGCCTCAACTCTCCACTCCTGTCCCCAGGGCCTCCTTCTCCATCCTGCCCAGAACAACCTGGCAGCAGGGCTGCCCACTGGAATGACAGCCCCGGGAGAGAAGGTCTTTCGTGTCTTAGTCACTGCTGAATCTCTGGCATCTACAACAGTATTAGGTGTATAGTAAGTGCTTCTAAGTGTTTGTTGAATGAACAAATGAATAAAAACCAGATGCCTGGGCCAGATTAATCGACATAAGACTCCAAACCTCACTATTGTGCCTCATCCCACTCCCTCTATCCTCTCTCTTGCAGGCCAGATGGGTCCTGAAATGAGCTCCCCGGGAAGATTTCTCTCATCCCAGTCACCTCAACCCCCT